TTTATTTTTGGCAGAGAAGTCAAAGCAGGAACCAAGGCCCGCCCTCTTGGCTCTGATGTTTGCAGAGCTGGGGTCTGTGGCCGCACACGCGGGGTCCCTGGCTCCCCTCCAGGGTGCCCTCTCAGAGCAGCCCCTCCGCCCAGCAAGGTGGCACCAGAGAGCCCTCATGCTCTCCCGCACAGGGGACCAGCCAGTCCCACTCACACGCTTTTGGCTGGAAGTCTCTCCAAGAGACTCTCCAGGATACTTCCGCTCTTTCCTGCTTCTATCCAAGTCGGAAATGCCACCAGCACAGTCTCTCTGTGCTCCTTCCTGAGCCAGCCAGGGCCAGCCGTGTCCTGCAGGAAAGGCCTGAGTCCCCACAGGCCAGTCCCCTCCTGACCACATATGTCCCCACCCCCCAGGTGAAGCATAGGCCTCTTTCATGCCCCAAGGGCCACCTGGAGTTCACAGTCATTGGGCTTTCTGTAGCATGTGACCTCAGGGCTTCTCCCAGATGACAAGCTACTCCCTTCCCAAGATTCTCAGTCTCTTCAGAGGGGACAGGAACACCCCTCCTTGACCACAGACAGGCCTCCTACACCCGCCTGGGCAAAGAGGGGGCAGTTGCCAGCTGCTCACCCTGCACTCAGCTCCTGTGCTGTCCCATCCTGGGCTGTGACACCCAGTGGCACCTTGTTTTTCTCAGCAGCAGGTGCTTGGACACCAGAGAGGTGGCCCCTGCTGGAAAGGACAGCAATACCAGCACTAACCCCAGGGCCTGGGCCTGGGGGCCCGCAGGGAGGGCTGGGGAAGCTGCAGTGGGGGCAGAGCAGAAGGCCCTATACACAGCACCACACATTTCCCCTTTCTGCTCCTGGGTCTCCTTGCATCTCTGCAAGCGTCCCACTGGGCTGGGCTAGGCTGACTTCAGGCCCACATGGCCCCTGGTGTGGGGCAGCACCCGGGCCCTGGATCCCAGCAACAGCCAGGCCACAGCCGAGTCTCTGAGAAGAGCATGCTGGTGGGCCCCTGTGTAGGTGACGGGTGGGATTAAGCACACCTCTCATGTGGGGTATGCACCCGTTCACAGGATGCGTCCGGAGGGGGTCTGGCCTCACCCTTTCTCCTTGTTTCCATCTCTGTGCGGTGTGTTTTACTAAGTACTATTGAAAGTAGAAAAATAATAATAAAAAAAATTGATATTTTGCAGGAAGTAGCTTTTGCCAGGCAGCTCGCTTCCCTGGGCCCACCTCACCCAGCCCTTGCCCACTCCCCACCCACACAGGATGCTCAGAGTTCCCATCTGGAAAGAGGACATCCAAAGAGGATCCTGTCCAGGTGACAGGCCTGCCAGCAGCCTGCTTGCCCAGTGCCTGGCCCCGCTGCCTGCTCCGCTGTGGTCCTGGCCCTGCCCTGCTCTGGCAGGGGAACAGGGCCGGCTTGTTCTGCCTCCTTCCTGGACCCCCGGGCTCTGGGCCCACACCCCGTGGGGAGGCACACAGGAGAGGAATGAGGCCAAGTGCTAGTGGGCAGGCTGGAGCGGCCCCTGCACACACTACACACACCTGAGAGTTGGACTTACACTTCAAAGGCAGGAAGGAAACCTGGTCCGTCTGTGGGAGCGGGGCCAGGAGGGGGGGAGGCAGGAGGGGCAGTGCGGCAGGTCCCACCCCAGCAGGTGGCCCGTGGCGCCTGTGGCAGCAGCCCAGTCCCAGGACCCGCCTGGGAATAGCAGGCCAGTGTCTGTGGGAGACAAGCCCAGTGTGTGTTGGTGGCTTTGCCTCAATAGCACACAGTCCTTCCCTCCTGCCCAGCTGCCATTTCTGGCATGAGGAGTCCCAGAGGCCGGGGCAACCTAGGATGCACCTCCAGCTGCTCAGTCCACGTCAGCCCCATCAGAGGGACCCAGACTGTTTCACCAGCAGCTGCAGTCTGTTCCTTCATCAGTGGCCTCCAAGTGGGCGTCTTTGGTGAGGCATGCTGTGCCCTTCCCGTGGCAGGCCCGCCAGCAGACAGGTCCGCCAGGCTTTTGCAGCAGAGGGCCAGGCAGTGGACATCTTCGGCCTGTAGCCATACGGGTTCTGACTGGCTACTCTGCTCTGAGCCCCACAGGTAGCGAGTGGGCGTGGCTGTGCCAGTAAGCCTGGATTTGCAGAACCAGGGGTCCTCATAGGACAGCCACGGTATGGCCTGTGAGCTAGGAATGTTGTTTATATTTTTAAAGGGCTGTAAAAACAAAAACAAAAAGAAGGGAGAGGAATGCACAATAGAGACTGTATGTGGTCCACAGGCCAAAGAGGGTCATTGGCCCTCAGAGAACAGGCTGCTTGCTTGATGAGGCCATTTGCAACAACCCAAGGTCAGTAAAAATCGGGCTTGTCTGGTCCGAAAGAGCCCCCTACATGGCCAGGGTGACCGCTTCCAATTCTGCCCACAGCACTGACTGGCCTTCCCGAGAGCTCCCCGTGTTGGGGCTGCACTGGGAGGCTGCCGCCACGGAGGGGCCCCGCTGTGACCGGAGGGCCCAGGAAAACAGCAGCTTCACTGGCCGCTGGAGTGGGAGAAAAGGCTTCCCAGGGGTAGCTCCACTGTTTCACAAAAACCGAGGTGACTCTTGCCACTGAGCCATTTCCATTAGGCCTCCCACCCTGGGCCCTTCCCTTGTTAGTGTCGAGCTCCCAGTCAGCTCACCCCAAATGAGAGGCCAGCGAGTCACAAGGCCCCCACGGGTCACACTCAGCTTCGATGAGCTCTCACTGGCCCCATCAGTGTCCCAATTTTAAACAGGGTGTGGCTGGGTCCTGCTTCAGCTCCAGCTGTGACCCACCTGCTCCTCTGGGAATCTCAGAGTTTCTGCAAAAGGGCCTGGGCTGGGGCTCTGTGGTGACCTCTTCTCCCAACGGCTGCGCCGTGTTCCCTTCTCTGTGAGCCCCTCACACTTGGTATTTCCTGTTTCTTTGATGGAAGCCACCCTGATGGGTGTGAGGAGGTGTCGCTCTGCGGCTTTGACACGCGTTTTCCTGATGACCCAGCATGTCTGATTGGCCATTCATGTGTCTTCTTTGGAGAAATGTCTATTTCAGGTCCTTTGCCCATTTTTTTAATCAGGTTGTTTGGGCTTTATTGTTGCATGAGTTTTCTATATATCCCTTATTAGATATATGATTTGCAGGTGTTTTCTCCCATCTAGTGGGTTGCTAATTGTGCCTTTTGATGCACAAAAGGTTTTTCATTTCGATGGACTGCAGTTTGTTTTGTTTTGTTTTGTTTTGTTTGTTCCCTGTGCCTTGGTGTCACCTGCAGGAAATCACTGCCAAGTCCAACGTTGTGAAGCCTTTATCCTGTGTTTTCTTCTGAGTGTTAAATTTTGAGCCCTTACCTTTAGGTGTTTGATCCATTGGAACTAATTTTTTGGCTGTGGTGTTAGGTAAGGGTCCCACTTCATTGTTTTGCCTGGGAACCTCCTGTTTTCCCAGCACCGTTTGTTGAAAGCCATTTGACCACACGAACAAGGGGTTATTTCTGGACTCTCTGTTCTGGCCCCTGGGCCTCTCTGCCTGTCTGAACATAGTAAATTTAGTTATTTTATTGTCAGATAACTCTAGTATCTGGTGTTTCTCATGTTTCCACTTACTCCTGTTGGTGGCGTCCTGCTTCCTTGTGCGCCCGTTATCTCCGACTGTGTCCTGGGTTTTGAAGCATCATTCATGGGAGTGACTTGAGCCTCAGGTGAGACCATCTTCCTCCAGAAAGGGTGTTTCTCTGCTTCCGCCTGGCAGGAAACACCTTAATCCAAGTCACATGCACAAGACTCTTCCTTCAGGTTCACCCGAACTGTGTGGGCAGCTGTGTGTGTGTGTGGCAGGGGGGGGGAGGTCCCAGCTTAGTGTGAGGTTCCCTAGGTGCCTGCCTCGAGCCAGCTCTGAGCTCTGACATCTATCCCTCTCCCTCCATGAGGCCACTCAAATCGCAGGTCTGCTTTGTAGCTATGGCTTCTATGTCTGCGGACGTAGTCTCTCAGGGAAAGGGCTCTGAGTGCCAGGGCCCCTCCAGGCTCCTTGTCCTCCACGTGGAATCAAGAACCTCACTTGCAAGTACAAATTAAAAATAATAAAATAGTAAAAAATAAAAATTTTTTAAAAAAAAGAACCTCACTCGCTTGTTGGCTCATTGGTGCCTTTGAGAAGTATGTTTATCGGCCTTTTTTGCTGGTCTGGGTAACAGAGCCTCCCTCACCTAAGGGGGAGTCCTAAAGGTCTTTTCTAAAAGCACAGTTCTGACCACAGTCTTCCCAGGAGTGAGTCAGGACAGCCTCGAGCCCAGCTCTGTGATTGCTAACTCATTCGGCCCTGCCCAGCACCCTGCGAGGCCAGCAGCAGCATTAGCCCCGCCTCAGAGGTAAACATCCAGAGCGCAGAGAGCGCAGGCTGCACCTTGTGGTTGCATAGCCAGCGAGTGGCAGGGTCAGGGCTGTCCAGCTGCAAAGATGCTGCTCCCCTTCCTCTGCTCAGGAGCTTCTAGGGCTCCCACTTCCCAGAGTCCTGAGCACAGAAGCCACCTGGTCATTGAGGCCCTTGCAGCCTCCCCTGGCAATGCTGGCCCCTGCGCACCCCGCCTCTGCTCTGTGGGCACTCCTGCCCTCGCCTGATCCTTCCAGACCAGAGTCTGGGACCCTGTCCTACCCTCCGAAGGCCCCTGGCTGGAATGGGATCCAGAAGCTCAGGCTGCTGAGCAGACCTGAGTGCCCCACATGTCAAAGACCAGGGCCCACACTGGGGCTCCCTGACCCCAGAGCGGCAGCCCAGGGCTGGGTACCCTGCAGGGCATCTGGGACACAACCTGTCCAGGAGGCAACGGGTCAGGCTGAGGGGTCCCCTGTCTGGGACCAGGAACTGCCAGGCCATCCCAGGATGCTCTTCCCAAGCCTGGCTCACCCTCGCAGGGTGCCTGGTGGGGGAGGCTGGGAGGCTGTGCCCACCCACAGCCCCCATCAGTCCCTCTCTGGCTTTCTGCCCTGACAGGTGAACAACAATGGGATCATCTCCTTCCTGAAGGAGGTTTCTCAGTTCACCCCGGTGGCCTTTCCCATCGCCAAGGACCGCTGTGTGGTGGCGGCCTTCTGGGCGGATGTGGACAACCGGCGTGCAGGGGATGTGTACTACCGGGAGGCCGCCGACCCCGCCATGCTGCGCAGAGCCACGGAGGACGTCAGACGCTACTTCCCTGAGCTCCCAGACTTCTCTGCCACCTGGGTTTTCATCGCCACCTGGTACCGCGTGACCTTCTTTGGCGGCAGCTCCTCCTCCCCCGTGAGTTTCTGTCCTGGGGAAGGGAGGAGGTACAGCTGGGCCCAGGCCTCCCTCCAGGGCACCCACCTTGCCGAGGGGTCAGCTTTAGTTGCCGGCCCATGCCTGAGAGGAAAAGCTGGGTTCAGGCACGGGAGTCACTGACGAAGGTCCGAGCCTGACAAGGCCCGGGAGAGTAGCTCACACGCCGGGGAGAGGAGAAGGATGATGTGTTACGGGTTTTCCACTGGGAATGCTTCTGTCCTCAAAGGGTCAGTCAGGAAGTTATCGCGCCTTATACTTCATCCTCGACTGTGCCAAACAACAAAGTGTGAGCTCAGGAGTAACTGAGCACTCTGCCCAGCATGGTAGTGCTGGTGGGCGGGTCCCCCTGAGTGGGTCCCCCCACACCCGCAATGAGGACAGTGCTGTCCCTCCTGGGGGTCACACCATGCACGAGGAGGCACTGGGAGCAGAGAGGTTCTCTGAGCTGTTTGTTCACGCATTTAACCCACATTTCTGTAGGGGCACCTCTTGGGGGGCAGGCCCTGGACAGAGCAGACAGGACACGGCTCTCTCTGGGGTGTCACAAACGACCATGTGATAAAGGTGCCAGTTGCCCTGAAGTGGCCAGCATGGCCGTGCCAGCCGGAGGGTGGGTCTGAGCCATGTGGGGGGTGAGGGTAGAGGACCAGGATGGCTCAGAGCAGCCACGGGGGGGATGTGACAAGACACTGGGCAGCAAGGGGAGCTACAGCAATCACAGCAGAGCCTGGTTCCTGTCGCACACACTGGGGAGGGTGGGTGGACAGGGGGGCCTGCACTCAGGCTCTAGGGGTGCAAGTGAGGGACTCGGCCCCGGATGTGCCAAGATGGCCATGCCCAGCGGGCATCTAGAGATGGAGCCCAGGGTCCTTAGAGGTGGCTCAGGGGAACTGGGAAGGTGGGCAAGTGGGTCCAGGGAGGGATGTGCCAAGTGACGAGATGCCCACAGACTCTGAGCGCCCCAGCAGCCAAAATGAACAAGTGAGAGAGAGGAAGAAGGACGTTAGCAGGTGCCTACGAGAGGGAGACACTCACTGTGTGGGCCTTTCTGTGAACATTACCGCAAATCCGCGCACTGGTGGACTTCTGTTCATACAGAGCTCACTGGTATTTTGTAAGTTCTGTTTGTTTTTTTCTTTCCACCAATTTGTAACAAAACAACTTTGTAACAAAAGGTAAAGAAAACCCAACTATAATTCCTCTACCAGAAGACAACTCCCCGTCAACATTTCCTAGTGTCCACTGACCCACAGTCTAAAAAATAAATAGAGCCGCCAAGAACATGCTGTTTTGTGAGTGGTTGTTGTTTTGTTTTTCACTCAGCAGTATTGTGGGCATTGTCCTCATTTTATATGTTCTCTTACCTCATTTTAAAAATTACTCTTTCACCTCTGCGGAGGAAGAGGCACCCAGAACGCCTCCGGAGTTGACAGAGAACCTTAACATTCCCATTTCCAAACCCGGAGATGTGGGTTAGAAAAGGGATATCCACATCACATCCTCAGAAGACAGGGAGTCGAGATCCTGAGTTCGGGCTGGGAGGTGGCCTGTGACAGGGAGACTTGGGAGCCCTCTCTGCAGCGGCAGCTCTGGAAGCAGGTGATCCACAGGCGGTGACAGTGCAGCTGCTAACGCTCCTCAAATCCGGGCCTCACCTGCACACACGCTGCCCGGACCGACCGTGCTGCCACTCCGCCTTCATGGCCATCACCTCCTCCCTGTCCTCAGAACTCTAGCACTTAGGTTCACACCTTCCCATTGTTAATGTTAACCTAAGAAGACACACAGACCACCGCCATAAAGCAAATATCACAATAGAATGAGTCACATGACTTTTTTGTGTCCCATTGCATATAAAGGTTATGTTGACACTATAGTGTAGTCCATTAAGTATACAATAGCATTATTGGACACTTAAAGAAAGTACATACCTTAATTAAAAATACTATATCGCTAAAAAAGGCTAACCATCATCTGAGCCCTCAGTGAGGCGTAATCTCGGTGCTGGTGGAGGGTCCTGCCTCAATGTTATGGCTGCTGACTAATCGGGGTGGTGGTTGCAGATGGTTGGGTGGCCAGGGCAGTTTCTTAACATATGACAATGACGTTTGCTGCACTGATTGACTCTTCCTTTCACAGACTATTTCTCTGTAGTGCTATCAGCATTTTACCCACAGACTTCTTTCAAAACTGGAGTCAGTCCTCTCAACCCCTATCAGCTAAGTTTATGTGATATTTTAAATCCCTTGTTGTCACCTCAACAGTCTTCACAACATCTTCACCAAGAGTGGATTCCAGCTCAAAAAACTACTGTCTTTGCTCATCTGTAAAAATCAACTCTTCATCCTTTCAAATTTGGTCATGAGGTTGCAGTAATTCAGTCACACCTTCAGACTCTACTGTTAATTCTAGATATTTTGCTATTTCCACCACGTCTGCAGTTACTCCTCACTGACGTCTTGAACCCCCCTGAGGGCTGGAACCACCTTCTTCCAAACGCCTGTTAAGTTGCTATGTTGATCTATTTCCACGAATGTCCTTAATAGCTCCTAGAATGGTGAATCCTTTCCAGAAAGTTTCCAATTTACCTTGCACAGGTCTATCAGAAGAATCATATCTATGTGAGCTATAGCCTTACAAAATAATAAGACTTGAAAGTCTAAATGACTTCTTGATCCATAGGCTATAGAATGGGTGTTGTGTTAGCAGGCATGAAAACAACATTAATCTCATTGTCCATCTCTATCAGAGCTCTTGGGTGACCAGCTGCATTAGCCCCTAACAAGAGAGTCAGCCTGTCCTTGAAGCGTTGAAGCCAGGCATTGACTTCTCTCCAGCTATGAAAGTCCTAGGTGGTGTCTTCCAATATGAGCCTGTCTCTATGTATTACAAATCTGTTGTTCAGTGTAGCCACCTTCATTAATTATCTCAGCTAGATCTTCTGAATAACTTGCCACATCTTCTATATCAGCTCTTGCTGCTTCACCTTGTACTTTGATGTTGTAGAGATGGTTTCTTCCCTTTAACCTCATGAATCAACCTCAGACAGCTTCAGACTTTCCTTCTGCAGTCCCCTCAATTCCCCCAAGTCTTCATAGAATTGAAAAGAGTTAGGGCCTTGATCTGGGATAGGCTTTGGCTTAAGGCAGTGGTTCTCAACCTTCCTAATGCCGCGACCCTTTAATACAGTTCCTCATGTTGTGGTGACCCCCCAATTTCATTGTTACAAATTGAACATAATTAAAGCATAGTGATTAATCACAAAAACAATATGTAATTATATTTGTGTTTTCCGATGGTCTTAGGCGACCCCTGTGAAAGGGTCGTTCGACTCCCAAAGGGGTCGCGACCCACAGGTTGAGAACCACTGGCTTAAGGGAATGTTGTGGCTGGTGTGATCTTCTATCCAGACCACTAAAACCTTTTGCACATAAACAATAAGGCTGTTTAGCTTATCACTGTGTATTTGCTGGAATAGCCCTTTTAAGTTCCTTCAAGAATGTTTCCTTTGCATCACAACTTAGCTGTTTGGTGCAAAAGGTCTGGTTTTAAGCCAGTCTCAGCTTTTGACATGCCTTCCTCATTAAGCTTAATCATTTCTAGCTTTTGATTTAAAGTGAGAGACATGTGACTGGTCCTTTCATTTGAACACCTAGAGGCCATTGTGGGATTATTTATTGGCCCAATTTCACTATTGTTGTGTTTCAGAGAACAGGGAGGCCTGAAGAGAGGGACATAGACAGGGGAACGACAAGCGAAGCAGTCAGAACACACACATTTATCAATTAAGTTCACTGTCTTAATGGGGTGGTTCATGGTGCCCCAAACAATTACAATAGTAACATTGATCACTGATCACAGATCACCAGAACAGATATCATAATGATGAAAAGTCTGAAATATTGTGACAATTACCAAAACGTGACACAGAGACACAAAGTAAGCAAATGCTATTGGAAAATGGCACCAATAGACGTGCTCAATGCAGGGTCATCGCAACCCTTCAATTTCTAAAAACACAATTTCTAAAAGCGCCATCAATGAAACGCAATGAAACAAAGTGTGCCTATACACCGTATGGTCTCTGGTCACTGCCACGTCCACACACTGGCCCAGAGTCGCTGGCCCAAGGCCTCGAGTGCAGGGTACCCTGAGGTGGGCATGCGCAGCCTCAAGTCCACTGAGGTTTATCCTGGCATGAGCCTCTAAAAGGGAGATTACTGCCTGCAGAATTTCATGTTCCCCTCAAAAATGTGCCCATGCATTCTCACATGCCACATGGGATGTGCCCGGTTCCCTGCACTCCAGCCAGGAGCCCTCCCGCTTTCCTTCCTTGCCTTTTCAAACTTCCACATCTTTGATTCCTAGCGATGCTGGATTTGCTCCTGTGTTACCTGCTAGTTGTATTCTACTTGTCATGTATCTGAGCATAGCCTGTGTTATCTTTTTGGTCTTTCTCTCATTGATCTGTAGACGTTCTTGTATTAAGAATATGAATAGTCTTGCCTGCTGCATATATTATAAAAACATTTTTCACTTTGCTGTTAGCCACTCAGTTTGCGTTTATGGCACTTTGTGATATTCAGAAGTTTTTGTAGCCAAATGTATAAATCTCTTTTTTTGTTGCTTTTGCGTTAACATAAGTCATGCCTAAGCCTCCCTGAGAGGCTCTCCATGGTGCCCACTATTTCTTCCAGTGCTGCGACAGTGTCATTTACAACCTTACTTGATTTAGGCTTTATTTTCGTGAGTGATGTAAAATTCTAATTTCATTGTTTTTTTTGTCATGTATCTGAGCATAGCCTGTGTTATCTTTTTGGTCTTTCTCTCATTGATCTGTAGACGTTCTTGTATTAAGAATATGAATAGTCTTGCCTACATCATATATTATAAAAACATTTTTCACTTTGCTGTTAGCCACTCAGTTTGCGTTTATGGCACTTTGTGATATTCAGAAGTTTTTGTAGCCAAATGTATAAATCTCTTTTTTTTTGTTTTTGCGTTAACATAAGTCATGCTTAAGCCTCCCTGAGAGGCTCTCCACGGTGCCCACTATTTCTTCCAGTGCTGCGACGGTGTCATTTACAGCCTTACTTGATTTAGGCTTTATTTTCATGAATGATGTAAAATTCTAATTTCATTGTTTTTCGGAGTTTCCTATTCATCCCATGATCCTTTGCCCGATCTGAAATAGCACCTCATATGTACCCTACCCACTAACATTTTGGAATAGAATTCCATGAAAATCATAAAACCTGATTATTAAAAACATTTTTCCTTGATTCCTCTGTTCATCTTTCCCTTTTCCTTTTATGTTTTTGTCCTATTCCCTCAAGGCAGTTTTGTGGATTTGACCAAGTGAGCAGGAACTCTCTGTGCCCCCGGCCCCCACAGGGGACATGTCTGCTCCTGGCGTCAGTGGGCCCCCACAACCCCCGTGCAGATTCTTGGGGAGGGGGGCAGGTTGGCCTGTGCCAGGGCCTCAGACACTGGAGACACAATGGAGGATGGAGGACGAGGCCATCAAGGTTCTGCCCTATGGCTGACCGAACATCTAGTTGGGGAGACAATGGCAGTGTGTGCAGGAATATTGGAGGGGCAGGGCCTGGGAACGGAGACAAGGCGGGCAGGACCCTGTTCAGGCCTCCCTCCTTGGCAGGTCAACACGTTCCAGACTGTGCTCATTACGGACGGCAAGTTCTCTTTCACCATCTTCAACTATGAGTCCATCACGTGGACCACAGGCACACACGCCAGCAGCGGGGGTGACGCCACAGGCCTTGGGGGCATCGCGGCCCAGGTAGGGGTCCCTGCTCCCTATTGCCGGCACTGTCATGAGCTGATGAAACAGGCAGACCTCTCCCCTCCTGCACCCCACCCCAACCCCCACCTCCACATGCACTACTGTGCAGAGGCTGGTGCAGGGTGATCCAAGCCCTCTCACCGCCCAGAACCACAGAAACATCCTTGGCCAAAGGCCTTTGTCCTGACCACACTGCCTGGCCACTGCAGCAGGGAAAGAAGGTCCTGGGATCTCTGCACTGACTGCCCCCAGGTCCGGCAGGGCTGTGGCCCCAAGGACCCCGGCCAGCAGGAAATCCCAGGTGTGGAGGGCATGGTCAAGGGCCAGTGCCCAGGGCCTGCCGGTCCCCTTCTGGCTGTGCACCCCCATCTACTTCCCCTGAGGTTGCACTTGCCGCTGGCCCCTAGGGAGACCCAAAACCCAGCAGTGAGTCATGGGGGGGGGGGCATGGGGGTGCCAGGCCCAACCAAGTCTTTGGCTCAGAGCCTGGCTGGGAGGCTGCTGACATTGGCAAGGACAGCGTGGTGGAGGGAAGGGGTGGATACCCCTACACCTTAGAGCTCTCCCGCTGTCTCCCACACAAGCTCTTTGACCTTGACAGTGTGTGCAGGAATGGTGGATGGGGCAGGGCCCCATCTGGGGGAGGTGGGAGCTTTAGGGAGACCTGCGGACCCAGCCCGCACCTGCCCCCACTCTCTCACACCCACCCAGGCTGGCTTCAACGCGGGAGATGGGCGGCGCTACTTCAGCATCCCAGGCTCGCGCACTGCGGATATGGCGGAGGTGGAGACCAGCACCAACGTGGGCGTGCCCGGGCGCTGGGCTTTCAGAATCGATGATGCCCAGGTGCGCGTGGGGGGCTGCGCCCATGCAAGTAAGAGCACC